CAAGAGGAAATTCAGCTGTATTGGAGAAAGTTCAGACTTCCATTAAACAAAGTTTAATCATCTAATTTCACTGCACCATCTCCCAGAGCATAACCACTGCTCGACATCACTCCCTCTAGAGAATTACTATCAAAACACCCTACCAGACTGCTGGCCTGGCAACCTGTTAGGACCATTCTCAGTCATGCTCCATGCGACAAGCCATTCGGAGCTACTTTTTGGCTGACCAAAGAAGAGAGAAAAGGGAGGGACTACAGGAACAACTCTGTAACTCGAGGAAGCGAGCTTTGAGTTAGCTACCAGGACACAAGAAAGGAAAGAAATTTAAACTTCAGAGCAGTGCAATTAACTATGCTCCTCTACAACAAGAGTAACACACAGTGCTCTAATAGCGCAGAGCGATGAGGGACAAAGTCACTCACACGCAGAGATTTAGTAACAGAGATGGAGCGATCATTTTTGCTATATCAGTCCTCTACTTTGGAAGATAACTGTGATGCTGAATAAATTGCAACGGAAGGTGGACAAGATGCCAAAGTTATAAAAGCAAAACCTCCAGAGGTTCTGGGTTCTTAAAACATTTTGACACTACTCCTAGTTGAAGGCAACTCGCTCTTTTCAGTAGTTTGGCCAAAACGAAAAAAAAAAAAAATGCTGACAAGATCCATACCCTTAAGGCACCACTACCACACTAAGAGAAAGATTTATTCTGTCACACTGATTCATTACTTAAGCCAAAAAACTTTGTGTAAAAAACAACAAAAAAAACCTATTCAATATAGAGTCTTTACATGAATTAGTCTGAAGAGGAGACCAAACAGGTATGACATAAGCAATGTTACTCAAGATGTGAAAGGGAAGCTCAAGTAACGTCAGCTTTCACAGCATGACGAGGAGAATCCGCCGCGCTATTCACAAGGCAGACGACAAAGTCAAGGAAACCACCCAGAGGGAGATGATCACAGCACAAAACAACAGCTCCAATGAGAGATGTATCTGTGCCAGCTTCAGGTCCGTGTCTGGATGCTTCATTCTTGCAAGCCCTGAAGTGCAGTTTACCAGGCCCCCTGCATCAGGAGTTACTTTGCTTTGCCCATTTCATCCATTCCCGCTCCAGGAAAAAAAAAAAAAAAAAAAAGAGTTAGGGGGAAAAGCCTCTGGCCTGCTGTAAAAACAGCCCCTACCAGTTTTCCAAGTTTGGAGACAAACCCGACAGAGTTCCACCCACCACAAACTAGCACCAAAACACTGGTGAAGGGGCAAGAAGGAGAAGTGAGACAAGCGACATGACGCTCAACTGTTAACAAAACCAGGACGGAGAACCGCGTACGAGGACTTAGAAGGAAAGGAAACATGTTTCACAACAGCACTTTGCGCCACGATACTCTGATAAGATATACGCAAGAAGGTCAGGCTCACTGAACCCGACAAACGTTATGTGTGAGGCACAATATCCAGATTGGGGGGAGGGCGGTGGGAAGAAAACTGGGGCAAGCATAAATCCTGCTTGCCCAAGGGAGCTCTCTTCTCCCACCGCCCCCCTCCTTTTTTTTTTTTTCCCTGAGGAGATGCGAGAGACAAGAGCTGTTTTGGCAAAGGGAGAGAGAAGAGGGGGCAGGGAGGAGGGCAAAGAAACAAGAAGGCGACACAGGTTCTTAAAAGGAAATAAAAATTAGACGCAGAAAGCTGGAAGCGGCGAACAAACTCCACAGGGCAGGAGAGGTCCCTCAGCGCCGAGGGCGGGGGGAGGCGGCCGTTACCCGCCGCGGGGCAGGGC